TCGATACCGGTCACATTGTAAGCGTGTTTATGCAGATGTTTTACTTGTGATCGTATTACTGCGGTCAGTGTGGTGTTTGTGTTCAATTGTGAACGCATACCTGGCGTTGTTTTGAACACGAAAGGTGTGAAAGACATATCGATCTTACACAAAGGAAATGTGTTTATTTTGTTTCTTTTGTAATCTACTGTACGGCGTATGCCTTCCAGCTCCGAGAGCTGTCCTAGAAATAACAGGAAAATTGTCATATTTTAATAACTATCTAATTTAGTCATTCTAATATTTTTCAATTCTTTAAAAGTTTTGAGTAGTTCAGGTAATACTCTATTTGGGTGCACCATTAAAATTAATTAAATGAATGTAGCCATTTTACTACATCGCAACAAAGATAGCAACCACTATACAAACTCGGCCAGAAGAAGAGATTACAGTTATAATTCGGTTTCTTCACGCAAAAGGGGGAAAAAATCTCACTCCTATTCAGGCAGAATTTGGAAGTGTTTGTGGTGAAAGTGTTTTAAGCAAGTTTTTGGCCCAATTTATGGCACCTGTCTACCAACAACGAAAACAAATTCTGAAAGCATGGAAAAACTCATTCGTGATGACAGGTGTCTCAGAATTCGTGACATTGCTGATGTCCCAGATCTTTGTAAGTCAACAACTCACGGAAGTGCCTCTAATGCGGTAGAATACAGAACAGTGTCAGATGGGTGGGTTCCAACACAGTTGACAGATGCGCACAAGGCACAGCACGTCGGTGTTAACACATTGTTTGAACGATGCAGGCAAAATAATGTGCTTGACAAAATGGGAACTGGGTCTGCTGGTGACTTCAGAGAACCTAATGAAAGCTTTCTGGATCACAGTCCTGATCTTGCCCCTTCAGACTTCCATCTTTTTGGACCAGTGCAGCGATACCTAGCCGGCGAAAATGTAACTGATGACACAAACCTTATTGAGCACGTCAGATATTGGCCTCCTCGGTCGCTTGACATAACATTCTACAGGGATGACATGCATAATACATATGTAACGATGGGAAAAATACCAGGTGTCTTTTTAAAAAAAGAAAGACCCATTTAAAGGGCAATAACTTGGTCATCTTTAGACCAATTACAACAAAATTTTGAAGAAATTCAATTCAATCAAGGGAACATTATATTTGCCAAAATAAAATCAATCAATCAGATAACTGTGTTTGAATAAAATCAAGTTTTTGAAATTTTAACCAAATTGGAGGAAACGCAAAACTGCTACTTCTTAAAAATCAACCACAGTGGTCTGTTTCAAATAGATCTAGTCATTATTTGTGTATTGAAGAACAAATTCAAATTTAGACCCCAAAAAATATAATGCCAGGGAGGTGATGGCTATTTATATCTCCAATTGTTGACCATTTCTCTCTATACACGTCCCAATCCGCCACTGGGAATTTTAAATAAACGCGTGAGGTATTTTGGGGTCGATTCTTTCGACGTCCTGTTCAATATTGAGTTTTAGCAATTCGATTGTTTGTGGCTTGCTTCCGTAAACCCTCTCAACCCCCCCCCCCCCCAAAGGTAATAATTTAAAGGGCTCACGTGTAGAGGAATATGGTTACTACATGCATTCATTTGTAAATTTTCGGCCTATAAGGCGTTCTCCAAACCTTTTTTACAACCACACATAAAGGGTCACTCTAGACATTGGAGGTGTGGCCCTATCCCACCAGAACCAGACCTCTACAGCATAACTCCTTCTCCTCCCCAAATTTCCCCAAAACCTTCTCAGCACGGTGAGATATCCATCTGATGTGATTGTCGTGGTTTACTGTCCTTGTCCTGAAACCAGAACGGGCCGATCGCATCCCTGTAATGGGCGGTTGGCGGGTGCTTTGGTGTGGTTTGCTTCTTCTTTCCTATCAAACGTCTATCGTCCTTATCTCCCCTCCTTCTTTTTTTCTTTTTTTTTTTTTTTTCTTTTTTTTTTTTTTTGTTACTCTCTTGTAGCATCTTTAATTTTCGGCACTTATATGACCTTATTGTGTTACAAGTGCCGTAAAATACTTACTAAAACTAAACTAGCACCCCTGTAGCTGAACGTTTCTAAGAAGTGAAATTGTACGTTTTACCCTAATTTGGTTGACTTTTTTAAAACTTGATATTCCGTACCAAGAACACGTCAATGGGTTTTGTTCATATTTGAAAACGTGATGTCCCCCTAGTTGAATGTTATTTGTTCGAAGATTTGTTAAAATCAGTGCACTAGCGGCCTGGTTATTGCTCTTTAAATGGGTCCTATTTTTTAGACACCCTGTACTTCATTGTTCACGAGGACCACGTCGGGAATAAAGGGAGTGTTTGGCTAACTGACTGTGTAAGCTGTATCTCAGTCTTGACAAAATTTTCATTTTATACATGTAGCCATTTTCTTGTTTTTAGTGACGCAGCCCTCATATTATACTATACACCGTGTTGTTACATCATCCGAACCCTGTTCCTGAATTAGGTCTAATTTTGACAGGCAAACCGACTAAGCAATCCTTTTTGGGGGGAGGGGGGCGGGGTTCGCCTTTTTTCCTTGTTTTTTGTGTTTTTGGTTTGTTTTTGGTTGTTGTTGTTTTTTTTGGTATGTCTGTGTCTGTTGGTTTTGGGGGGGGGGGGGTGTATAATCTCAGGAGCGCGTGTGAACGAACACGCTATGTGATGTCCTCTTGTGTTTGCTCCTGAGAACAGATGGAAAACAGTGCCTGTTATTGTCCTCTCCCACACCTGCTTGGGGTAAGACACGGAAGCGAAAACAGCGGGGGAGAGGGGGGGGGGATTTATATTTAACAGTTTGATGCGGTCTATGGCTAAATGTATAGGTAAACACCCACCCCCCTCTTCCCCTCGCGAATAACGTTACCGCCACTCATTAAGGTCTCTATTTTTCTTCAGCGTGTTTGTACCCCGTAAAAGGGTTTCACCTCCATTCATCACTCCCTTCCCAGTGTAGAATGCATCTTGTTTATTTAGGATTATAATTGTACATGTAAAAAGGTCCATATGTCATTTCTAAAACGTTTTTTTAAATCCACTGTTTTTCATACCGCCTGTCAAAAACAGGAACAACATTTGATTTTACAAGAACCCTACTTTTCGATAATAATGTGATTTGAAAGGTGGAAACGGAAAGGGGGGTTGGCAAATAAACCCGATGCACACTATAAGGTTTAATATTTGATTAATAAGGTACATAAACATGTATGCCCAGTTGTACATGTTATGTAATTACCTTGATGCTTCAGCTTTGCCACAACCCTCCTTTCTTCTTTATGTAAGGGCAGGCCGAGCTCCTCGCGTTCTGAATGTAAGCCTTGTTGGAGGTCAAACTCGTAAAGAAAATAAAAAGACAACTGTCTGTGAGACGATAAACTTCGACATGGCTGTGTAGAATGCGATGGCATCCAGCAGCAAACTGGCAATACTTGATAAAAATGCCTTCCAATGTGGAAATCATAGTTGTGGGCCTTCCTGGTGTTGTTTTCGTCTTTTCATCTGCTGCTTTCTGTCTGTGTGCGAACTTTTGTGTTTTTAACACACGTTCGCAGTACACTATTGTGAAAAACATGTACATACGCTCATTTCTGCCTTGCGCAGTTAAGGCTGACCAACTCGCAGGAAGACGACAAAAAGACATTTATTATTGAACTTTGTGGAAATCCCGTTGTGTGCTCTGGCTTTTTGGTTTGGGATTTTTGCTCTTTTTGTGTTTAAAGTGTCATTGGGAAAGGGGGGTCGGGGCGGGCATTGAAGATTGGACTGTATGTGTGTGTGTGTGTGTGTGTGTGTGTGTGTGTGTGTGTGTGTGTGTGTGTGTGTGTGTGTGTGTGTGTGTGTGCTGTGTGTTAGTTATATTGTACGTGATATGAGGGAAATCGTTTCCATCACCTTTTCATATCTTCTTGTATCTTTCCTTATCATTTATCTGATTGTTCGTTTATTTCCTTTCCATAGCCCCAAGGACTGCAGAAAGAAGTGCTGAAAGCTGTGATTAACTCTTTGCTGAAGGACAAAAGGTTAGTTAAAGTATTCGCTACCTTAGCGTTACAAAGTTCTATCTGACAATTTTTGCGAACACCTTAACCCGTAGGCCACGAGAGCCCCCTATCTGCTGTATTAAAATCGTAAGATTTTTCGGAGTCGTTACCAAGATATTCAAAGAATTGCTTTCGAAAAAGCTTGACATGCTTCAAAATTGTTGGCGTCAAATTTCTCAAAACTAGGTACAGTACTGTGCAGATAGAACTTTGTACTTCAATGGTATCGTTTTTGTAGCGTACTGTAGTGATATTTAAGTGTTTGACCATCTTTTTTTGTTGTTGTTGTCTTGAACTTTCCCTAAGGTCATACGTAGACCCCTCTCAATTTTAAAAACATTTCATGTTGAAAGATAACCCACGTTGGTGCGTTGAACAGAGGTCATTGACATTGTAATTCAGCAGGATTCCAACATGGCTAATGGAGCGCAGTTAGCTCAGTTGGTATCTCTCTAGACTTAAGACACCGATCAACGTGGTTCGAATTCCCTGGAAGAGCATTCTTTACCTTCCTTTGTTTTGGAATTCTCACAGTTCAGTCTTGTCAGAGACTGACGTTAAAGTGGAGATTACGCTTTTTTTAACCATTTTACTGGTTTGAGAGGATTCTTAAACCCGTACGGTACCCTGCCGGGCACACGGTGTTGCGGGGTTTTGTCAACAGTAACGTCCGCCTGTTTATGGAGTCCGCCATTTGGTGAAGCGAGCTCTCCTTCTATGTGAAATAATATGGGTAAGCTAAACTTATGCTTCCCTTGATCTGACCTCTGTAAGAACTGTCCTGTTCTCCGAAGTCGGTCAATGTAGAGTACTAGTCAGCTCTCCCGTTTTCAGTAGAGCCTGAATATACTATTGATTAACGCGCAGGTGATGGCGAACTTTGACACCTGCTGGAGGTTTTTCTCTTTTTTTCTGTACGAGTGAATTTCGAATTTTGCCTCAGAACCCCTAAAACGATCCCGGTGAATGTCAAGGAGAAAATAAATTATGTTAACTCCCTTCTGTGTGCGACTTAAGACCCTGTTGTGCCGTGTGTTTCGGGGGGGGGGGGGGGGGGGGCTCTTGTTAATTTTTAAAATTTTGTTTGTAAGTGTTTTAATGCGCTCGCAACTGCTTAAGGTCATATGAGCGCGCGGAACACATCAAATATTTTCAATTGGTAGGAAATTTTGAATTTTGCCCGGGTGGCAGCCGAAGCTTACTTTTATCGATTTTAGACCACCAAGGGATCTTTAATGTGCGCAACTTGCAAACGGAAATTCCGAGGTTTTTCACAATTTTCCGAGAAGGCTATATGTAGATCTTTGTGTGTAGATCTTTCCTACCCGAAGAACAGGGGTGTAGCTGAAAGACAGCAGTAAGAAGGAGCCAAAGGGTAGAAGTAGAAAGGCTGCAGAAAGAGTCAGGAACCCAGAGAGGGGGCGAAGGAGGTGAGGGGTGAGGGCAGAAAGTGGAGACGAAAGCAGACGACAGAACATTGCTAGAGAGCAGGAAAGGAGGTGAAAGGAGACACAATTTTAGAGAAGATCATTTTTCGGTCGCTACCCGGATTCGACCCAGGGACCTACCTAAACCTCTAGGCCACTAGAGCCCCTATTGTGTTTCTGCTGGAGTAGTAAACATCCTACAGAGAAGGCGGCTACCACTATCGGTCTATACTGCCTTGCCTATTTTCAATCATGCTCATTATTATCCAGGTGAAACCGGCGTTGTACCGGATTTCGTGTGAAAAACAGCGTGAAGTCAAGTGAATAACCTGGGAACAGCACTGAAGCAAAATAGTTTCTGACCCTTGGCGTGTTGTTTTTTTTTAGTTCCTCATTGTTTTGAAGGCAGGTATGGAACCGTGCGTCCTTTTTGAGTTTGAGATGGGGTTTTTTTAGTGTTTATTTGTCTGTTGGAGCCCAATCTTAACATGAACAGAAATGTTTATAGTACATTATTCGATACGCAGAAATGACAGACACTGTTGTCTGTTGAATGATGGATTGGCTCCTGTGCTTGCATACAAAAGGTTTCAGTTCTTGTCCAATGTGGTAAAGATGTTAATTCGAGTACCCTCATCCGTCATCTTGAATGTTAGCCCCAATGGGCAAAGGCAGGCATGGTCGAGGAAGCCATCCTCTTTAATGATAGGAATCGCGTTGGTGGTGGGTATACGTTAACAATCAGCCCTACATAAACGTACTCTGGCTCTGTTTATATGTTCGCCCAGTCAACTTTGTCTGTTCTTTTACCTTCATTAGAACAATTATTATTAATGATAAAGATACACAGAAACGGGAGACGAAGTCTCTGGGCAAGGGTCTTTTCGTTTTTGAGATTTTGTTATTGTTTCAAAGGTTGTCGACAAGGCATATAATTTATGAAAGCCGCGTTCGTTAACAAGTTTTACGTGTTCACGGTCGCAGAGACATCTTTTATAAATTGTAGTAAAGGCTTATTTATATATCCGGGTGAAGGTTGCAGTGTCAGTGGAGTAGATTATTGTGTGTGTGTGTGTGTGTGTGTGTGTGTGTGTGTGTGTGTGTGAGTGTG